TCACTGGTACATTAAGTGTTTATGTGTTTGTGCAGATCGTTCTGAATTAGGAATTGTTGCAAAAATTGCCATCATTTAAAGGTTTTTATTGCATACTTATGTTGTCAGTGCAGGTATTTGACCATCATAATTATAAAATGCTAGACATGCTGATCCGTCACAGCGGAGTTCACAGTTTCAGCAGAGACAAGCGCTTTGTGTGCCTTCTGGTTTATTTAATTAGAAACAATGGGTGGTACGTTTTCTGAGCAAAACTGATAAACATACAAATGTAATCCTAGACATCATTTATTTCATCAATGTGGAACCGTTGCCTTGTGATTTCATGTGTGAGTGTGACCATCTTTGGCTGTGTGATTCTGATACATACAATAATGAGAGAGGGACTACAATGCAATAAAACAGTGCAGATGGTTTTGATAAATGTATATAAAACTTGTTATTACATTTGACATTGAAGTTGTTTTATACCTGCTATTATAATGCAGTGTTTCAGCTCATCCATTTGTCTCATTATTTCATGTCAAAATGTTTGACTCCTTGTGACTCTCCACCTCTGCTTCTTTTACATCTTTACTCTAACGGCCCGTCCACACAGCGGCGTGCGTTGAAGCTTGCCGGCGGGCGTGTCTGAAACTCGACCAACAACCAATCACATGAATCTCCCGCCCCAGACACACAAGCACGCGGTTTGATTGGCTAGAGCTTGTACTGGCATATGTTTTGATTGGCTGACGCTTCCGCTGAAGCTTCAAAGTTGAACATTGCTCAACTTTTGCAGCGAGCAACGCGAGCAACGCGAGCAACGCGAGCAACGCGAGCACAATGCAGTTCGGCGAAGCGTCCACACGGCAGTGTGCGTTGAAGCTTCAACGCAGCTTTCCATTGACTTTGAATGGCTTTGCCGAACTGCATTTTGGTTCCGTTGCGTCGCTTTGCCTCCGTTGCTCGCTTCAAAAGTTGAGTAAAGTTCAACTTTTCAAGCTTCGATGGAAGCAACCACCATCATTGGTTGTCGATCGCGCTCCAGACACGCCCACCGGCAAGCTTCAACGCACGCTGCCGTGTGGACGTACCGTAACCGTACAAAAAGCTGAATTCCCTTCCTATTGCTGCCATTTTCTTTATTTCGTCCACCTTTTCAATTGTTCTCTTCCTCTCTCTTATTGTCACATGCATGCTGGTTTGTGCTTTTAGCCTTCTGTGAAATGGCACAATGCTCAGAGTCAAATACGCTGCTTTGAACCCTGTCGCCTTGGACGCCTGCCAGTAGTGCCAAAGAAAGAATAGTCCTTATTACGTTGTTCATGCTTTGAAAAAACTGACATGTCTTGTGTTATTCTTCTTTTGATTGTCGCCCTCTTTCTCGTATTCTCTGACATTCCTTTTTTCTGTTGTCTTCATTGTGTTTGATAGACAGAAGAAGGGAATTCTGCTGGGAAATACAAAGACTGATTGGCTTAATCTAAAAATGGAAACTGAAGTTATGTGTTTGCTTTGTGCACGAGAGTCGACAGTCGTCCTCCTGCAGAGGGAGATAACTGAGCCCTCTCCATCTTTGAGTCTTTGAATTAGTTTAGCAGAGGAGATAGAAAGAACTCAGGGGTTTGACAAGTTCACATTCAAACAAAATGTTGATTTAGTCCACATAATAACAGAGTATAGGGGAGAAGGAGAGGATGTCAAGATTGATATTGTTTAAAGTTTTCTGACAGTTTATTCATTATTAAGTCAAATCCTGTGATTATTTGAATGTGTACTTTATTGTTTGGCCAATATTTGGGCTGGGTTTGGTATTGTATTCCATCATTTGAGATACAATCCTCAGAAGTTGATGCTTCGAGGTTTTCCAGCTGACAGGGTTGTTGGAGCTTTTTCATTTCTTGCTTATTTAGATGACATAATAGTGTGGAAATTGATTGATTAAAAAGGTAATTGAAGTAAATAGGAGCACTTTTTTGATGACAAGTCTATCAAACAAATAATCTACTGTCCCACATGAATCACTCACTAAGAATGTAATAATGAAGAGTTATAATGATTCATATACGGATTCTCAAAAGGGATATTTAAATTAAATTAAATCTGCAAACAAAGATTGTTCACAGATCAAAGACATATAAATGTTCAGATTCCACTCCACAGTGCTATGCAAACATGATCTTTAAATATATATACCCTATACTGCATTTTAATACAGTTATGTAAATGTCAGAGCCTCCAGAGCTCCACATATTCTGTCGGCGATTAAAACGGTATACATTGCTAATAGAAGCTAGGTTATTCAAATGTAATTTACAAAATGAATACTGGATGTCTGCCAACATAAAATAATATCTAATAGTATTATAATGTCTTCCTTTAATTAATCCTATACCAATGTTCAAGTTGACAAAGAAACAATGTGTTGGTCATTGTTTATAGAAGTGTTGCTTATAAATGTATTCGCTATGAAGCTGCCACAAACCCTTTGCCTGCTTTGAGTTTATACTTGAGTTTTTTTCTACAGACCAAGTTTTTTTTAAATGCTTTAAATTCATTACCACATAATATCTGAAAGGTGGGCTGTGAGCTACTGAGAGCTATGGTTTAGAAGAATGAGGGGAACGTGTGAGGGAAAGTTGAAGCCTCACAGCAGAATGGCATTTACCAAATGACTTAAGAGGGCATATCCACGCTGATAAAGTCCATCCATCCATCCAGCAGTGCACAATTATCATATAAATTTAGACACACACAGATCTGATATCCTTTCGGCAGCTTTATGGTGAGTGTATTAACGCACAAGCATCCCTAAATGAAAAGCCTTTCCTAACAAAGGAATACAGCTCCAGGCATACAGACATACTAAACACTCCGGCTAGGGTTGAGAGAAACAGGATAACACAGAGAAAGCGACAGAAGGGCAGGGAAAGGAATATGAACAGGGATAAAGATACAAAAGGGAAAAGGCGAGAAAAAATTAAGAATTGTGACGTGTACATTATTTATCCTTTGTCATCTATCCCTAACATAATATATGATATGTGACGATACAATTGTTGATTCAATGTATTTAAAATAAAGACTTCATTTATCTGCTTTATCAACAAAACATATTTTTAAGTGTTCACAAGGTCACCTTTGTTTTATATTATTATTATCAATAGATATCTTGTCATAGGAAAAAAAGGTATTGAGGAAAGAAAGCTGCCATTAAAGCTAGTGCTCATGGGAGTGAGGCTGCTCTAACACCTGCGCCTCCAGGTTGAGTGCTCCCTTATTCCCTTTCTCTTATCTACTTCTCATCCTGTCTGAACCAGTTTGTCTGTTCACCTTTTCATTGCTAAGTCTTTTCAACTTGCTTTTAAAATGTATCGTGCAACTATTTTGCAACTGTGTGCCTGATATATAGTTTCCAATACTTTTGTGTGTTGTGTAAACTTTTCTTATATTTACTGTAATCTTAAGTTTTTCTTTACCTCACCTCACCCCCCCCCCCCCCC